AACATCCAAAGCCGCCACTGTGCGAGAGACGGGGAACACCCTGGACAAGTTACAAGTCCATATCACAGGGACACATAGAGACAAACAAGACAAAGAACCATTCACTCACAACTAGGGACAATTTAGAGTTACCAATCAGTCTAACATGCATGTTTTTGGTCTGTGGGAGGAAACTGGAGCACCCGGAGAAAAAACACGCATGCACAGAGAGAACATGTAAACTCCACCCAGAAAGGCCCCTGGCCGGGATTCAATCAGTCAGTGACCTTTTTTCTGAGAGGCGGCAGCTCTACCAAGTAAGTCTATGGCCTCCTATGCCTCACCTGGCACAGCAAAGGTGCCAAGGGCTGCGCCACTCAGCTGGTGGCTGTGCTGGGACCCCCACCCCCTACCCACTCTACACACAAATGTATTATGTCTATTTATGTTGCTTTGCTGTGGTAGGTTTTTTTGATGCCTCAGACCATGACCTGTCAAGGACACGGTGTGATAGATCCTTTTTTTTTTTTAAATACCACTCTCCTTATGCTTTATTCCCCTTTTCTTTCTATCTAAAAAGTATTCTGATAAAGAATAAGGGGCCGCGCTCTTGTAGCAGCAGCAACGTGCACTCCGCCCATCCTTCAGACGACTGTACGAATATAATCTCACTGTATCCCGGTACAATGATAATAAAGCTTATTCTGATTCTAAGTCACCGTGCCGCCACACATTGTTCCAGTTTTAGCAAAAAACAACAAAAAAATCAACTGTATAAACAAAATAGCATATGATCCATTTTAATAAAAACTGTCCTAATAATAATAAAAAAATAATATGTTACCATACTATACCACTGATAGGATAATTAAATGATCCAACAAAAGTCCCCCAACAACCACTTTATTAAAAAACACACATACAGAGCAACAAGGCTGACCAACGTGTTGAGGAATAAGAGCAAACAACAGCAAAAAGACAACAAAATAAATATACATAACTACAGAAGTAGAAATATAAAACAACCAAAAATTCATTTAGAAAAGAAAGAATATTTAACTCTGTAAAATGTTGCTTCACTATTTGTTCTATATAAACCGTGCACGAGTTTATAATCTTGATTTAAATACAAATTTTAAAATAAAAAGACTTCCTTGAAGGAACTTGCTTGTAATCTGCTCTCAGAGTAGATGTTAGGGATGATTCTCAGTTACTACCAAATTTAAGCTCCATCAGATATTTGAATAAAGTGTCCATTTTTGTTCTTGTCAAGGCTGATGAGCTGTGACGGCCATCTTAAATCTGGATGACTCCAAAAGTTAATCAGCTGGTTTTGTTTATTACTTTAGAGTTTCAGTAAATCCATCCAGTGGTTCATGAGATTTTTTATTAGGCAAATCCACTTTTCATGATGGAAGATGATAAAATATCAACCTTACAATTGAAAATGGGATCGCCACTCAAACTCTTTAAACCTGGTAATTATTCTAGGGAGATGTCTGCTCCGAATTAATACATAGCATAAAGCAAGTCCACATTATTGACCACTTTGACATCGCAGCAGCACGTCTCTGATTGTTTTCCAGCATCACAACAAATCAATATCGGTGAGAGCTGGGAGAGAATGGAAGGGTAAATGATGTCTTCTCAGTTTAGAGACTCTTTAAATTGACATACTGCCACGCTGGAGGAGGCCGGAGTCGATAGATATTGTTATTTCTTTCAGATTCATCATCCTTATGGACCTGCTGCCACATAGAACTTCATTTATACTTCAGCAAAAGGTGAAGGTGCCAATATTGTGAGATATATACACTGTAAAAATTGTGGCCCTGCTTAAATTAAAAAAATTGATGTC